CAAGGTAGTTTTTACCCCAGCGAGTTCCCTTTTGGGGCAATTCACCACTGCGAACCCTTCTGAGCAGTTGCTTGAGCTACACCGAGGCATTCTCTTCCACAGCTGCGGCAGGCAGACGCGGCTGGCCATGTGAGAAGCTCGCCCCTTTTCTTAGGACCCGCAGGTATTGATAGATATATTCTGCGTGTCAGTTTTTTCGCTGAAGGCCTGATACTCATAATTGCTTGCGTTTCTCACAATGCTCAACCATGCTGCCACTTTGCCACTCATTTTCCACATTTTTGCTGTACAATCGTGTAGCCAAACATTCAAGCTTTGTGCTCTTTTACTTGGTATCGGTGAGGAATCGGGTGACGCTTGGAGGTAATGTTTGTTGAGTATGACAAGTCTGAATGCAACAATCTGGGAACAAGCCTTTGCCATTCAACAACAACACAAAAAACGGGGATTTGTTGGAACATGCTTGGGCATTTGCCTAGGCTCAAAAGAACATCGGGACCGGCGGGACATTTGGACGGGCACAGGTCATTGTGAGGTTGAGAACTCAGCCAGGGCAGACGACCGCGAGTCCCGCCAGCCGAAACAACCGCAAGTCTTACACGAGCATATCCAAGCAACGGTCAATATTGTTCACCTTCACTTGCTGTAGTAAAGGAATGACATTAGGCACGCTCAAAAACTTAACATCAGAAAATGTGAGCACATGTCCAGATTTGCGGCTCGTCTCCGTCCAGCCAGGCGGAGGCAGCACTAGAGCACTCCTACGACACGGATCTAGCGCACTGCTACTACACCGTCGGGGTCCCTGCCTATCCCCCTTTGCTTTTCGGATGTGTTGGGGGGTGGGGGCATTTGACGCTTGAAGCGAAGTAGGTTGCCTGAAAACATCCGAGCCATGTTGGTTGCAAGGCTTAACTTGTCGTCACAGGCTTTGCTTCCAACCGTGAGCAAGTTGACGTCAAGTCGCCATCAGTGCCCGATGTTCCATGTGACACATGTGAATTGACAGAGTCAATGGGCCAGGGAGGCATTTCCCCAAGAGCTGGCCTTGATCGTTTATAGGCACTCATCTATCCCATCTACAAATGGCAGGTTTCGTAGGCTGCTGTGTCGAGGCATCGGGTACAGAATCGCATCTAAGTGTGCCGCCCATGGAATCAGTACAATGGTAGTTTCTTCTGCATCGGCCGTGCCGTCTTGATTGAGGAAAGTACTTAGGTGTAGACCTTGCGATTGTCGCTGGCCTTTCCAGGGCTTAGGGCTTAGGGCTTATCCTTTGCTTACAGCTTCTGGGCCCGTAAAAGCATGGAGGATCCTCCTTGTCTCATCAAAGTGTGAACAGCTAGGCTAATTTGACATCTTTAGTTGGTCTCCGTTTCAAGTTCAATTGTTTTCGAATCCATGGTCCAGCAATGTCGAGCAGAGGTGCGATGTGCCATGTACATGGTGGAGAGATGCGTTGCCGAGCTCGGGACCGAGGCTTCCAGCTCAAATATTTGAGGATTCCTGTCATATCCACCCAGGGTGCAAGAAAACGGCCAAACCCCAATGGCCATCCTTTCGTGTCTCGCTATCTTCTGGCAAATGTTTCATGACGAGCTCTCAAATGGGGTATGAACTGCATTGGTAATCCTGTCATGATCCTTGCCATGAGGGCTTGCTAGAAGGCTCATTGGCCGCAAAAGGAGTGTGAGATGTGAGATCAGCTTGAACGACAACAACTCCCGGCAGTGTTACAGCAATGTTGTTGAGTTTTCTGGAGTCACGATCATTCACCACGATCACAGGCTGCATTGTGTGGATCTACGGCGGTCTTTATATTTCGAATTCGACCATTGCCAGCCTGAGCGGCTGTACGGCCGAGGCCCGGTGGCAACTCGCCCAAGGCGAGAACCCGGGCGTTTGGAGTGCGGGTCAGACTTAGGCCACAGCTCCCCTGGCAAAATTGGGGCCCGCTGACTGAGCCCTTAGGCAACAGGACAGTGGCCAGCACGGCTTGGCAGGTCATACAGGACGGCATCCATGAGCTTGACAGCCTTGGCCTTGAACACACGGCTGACACACGGATGGCTTTCCGCACATGGCGAAATTGGGCCGGCGTCAAACCTCCATTCGACACCAACAAGTCTGATCTTGGCTCATTGTGATGCTAGTCTTTCGTGGCATCATGCCAACAATTCGACCGATTTCAAAAAATCCTGCCAGTCAGTGCTTTCTGAGTACGATGGTTTTGAGGGTCAACATTTAGGTAGAGGCATGCTACCCAAGGTCTGATAAGCTGCATCGAGAGGATACCGCTCAAGGCCGGCTGTTTGGTCTGCTTTGTGAAGCACCGAAGAGCAAGACTGGGTGGTGGTTCATGGAATGACCATGCCAACCCGACTAAGCCGTTTTTTGTTGAGATATGCCACGCTCTTAGGGTTCAATGTCTTCGGGTTGTTTGTGGTTTTTGGACGACTTTCCATCCTGGGGATGATGCGTACATTTCGACAGCCGCGCA